TTACATGTTGTATTCTACTTATCTCACGGCAGCCTCTTCGGCTCAGTTATCTATGATAGTATGACGTGAAAGGATACGTTATGTTGGTACTTGGTGGAGTAAGGTACTGGGTGCCCGTCGCGGGCCATCGGTTTGGGTCGTGACACGCAGGTGCGAGGCCTGGGGTACAGGTGCTGTTTTGGGAAGTTAAGTGACTTCCGCAGGTGCAGACTTTTGAGCGCAAAAGCGGCACCGCAGGTGCGCTATTTTGACCGCAAATGCGGAAATGCCTGGGCAGAAGGTATAAATTAAACCCTTCGCGAATTTTGGGTCATTCTTCACCATTTTTATCTGGTTTTGGAGCTTTTGGGAGCAATTTGAAGAGGGATTCAAGGGGGTTTTCATTGAGGTAAGTAATTTGAGCCCTAATACTCGTGTTTATGGTAATTTCCCATTGTGTAATCATGTAATTAGTGGTGATTAAGGGTGAAAATGAGGGGTTAGGGCTTGAGATTTTTTGAGAGTTTGATTAAGGATTTGAGGGGTCAAATGGAGTCGTATTTTGATAAATCTTGTATGTATGGACTTGTGAGTAAAAGGGCTTTCTAATTTTGTGATTTTTGTCGGATTCCGAAATGTGGGCCCGGGGGCGGGTTTGAGAGGATTTCGGGATTTGTGCCTAATTTGATAGTTTTTCTTGTGGAATTCATTCCGCTGGCGTATATTGATGGTATTGTTCTGGTTGTGAATAGATGCAGAGCGATTGGACGCCGAGTCGAGGGGCAAGAGCATCGCGGAGTAGGGATTTGACCGGTTTGAGGTAAGTAACGATTGTAAATCTAGTCCTGAGGGTATGAAACCCCGGATTTGGTATCGTTTTACTATTTTGAGGTGACGAGCGTGTGGGCATGCACCATTGGGGATTGTGACTTGGTCCGTCCCGTAGCAACTATAAGTTTCGTATTTGGTTGAAACTATATGATACTTATGTGTTTGAGAAAGGATTTCTGTAAATTGGGTTGAATGCCATATTTGGGCCTTGTGCCAGAGCTATTTGGACTCGTAGGGGCCTTTTTCTTATTATACTCTCACTGTTTTTGGTTGAAAATCTATACTCGGTCATGTTATACTATTAATTTCATAACCCAGTCTTTATTACTCTGTTTTGATGCATATAAAATGTTATTTTGGGCTGAGCACCTTGATTTTACTGGTAGCCTGAGTGGCTTGAGAGGTTTATGACTGAGTAAACCCGAGGGCCTGATTTGTGAGGATATTTGTGGGATCGGGCTGTACGCTGCAGCATATTGTTACTGATTCATGATTGAGGGTGAGGCCGAGGGCCTGGTTGATTTATGCCACGAGGTGGCTTGTTATAACGCTTGGCTGAAGGAGCCCCTCCAGAGTCTGCACACCCCCAGGAGCGCGGGTACCCTGAGTATGAGTGATGGTGAGGTATGCCCGAGGGGATGTATACGGGTGACTGTGAGGTTTGCCCGAGGGGCTGTATTTGAGTGATGTTCTGGCCGAGGGACTGCTTATGAGTGATGTTTTGCCCGAGGGACTGTTTATGTTTTCATCATTTTTGCTCATTGTTGCACTGAGCCTCTATTTGAGAACTGTTGAAAAATATCTTCAAATGATTTTACTGAAACTGAGTTTAAACGAAACGATTTGATTCAAACTCTACTTTAAAAGCCTGTTATATTTTTACCGAGATTTCCTGATATGAACTTATCATGCTTTATTGCTCGTCACTGCTTCTCAGTCTTTATTTACTTTGGTTACTTACTGAGTTGGCGTACTCACGTTACTCCCTGCACCTTGTGTGCAGATCCAAGCACATCAGGACCCGGTAGCGGCTGTGGACTAGTCCAGCTGTAGATTCTTCTCGGAAAAGGAAAGGTAGATGCTGGCGATCGCAGCCCTATTCTTCTCCCTCCGATCTTCCTATAGTTTATTTTGTAGTTACATTTCCAGACTATGTTAGTCTCATTATCTTCGGACAGTGTTTAGTAGATGCGCATGACCAGTAACATCCCGATATCGGGCTTTTCTTTCCGCACTTTGTTATTTAGATTTTTCTTATGATGTTTTATTACTAAATAACTTGAAGTTATCTTTAAATTGAAATATCAGATTGTTTTTGATAAAGAGTCGGCTTGCCTAGTACCTCGATAGACGCCATCACGACATGGTAGTTTCGGTCGTGACAAATACATTTACTTAGTATAATTCCTGATTTTAAAAGTATAAAAATGGATAATTAAATTGGAAGTTTACCGTTGGCTTGCCTACGACATCGTTGGGTGCCATCACGGCCTATGGTGGAAATTGAGTCAGTGACAACAAGTGATAGTTAGGCGCCATCACGGTCCTTTAGTTGGGATTTTGGATCGTGACAAATGGTCCAACTCGTCGAATGTCAAAGCCAGTGTGGACTAGTCTAGGCAGAGATGAGCCGACCCAAATTGACAACTCTAATTTTAATTAATTTTGAAATTGTAATTTACTTTTAAGGATACTTATAAAGTTATCTGTTCGGCCTTAAATTATATTAGCCAATACCCAAGAGTAACATACAGTCAAATTAGGAACTTTTATATTCTAGTCAGTCGGTTCAAAGGCTAGTATTCTTTTCCACTAACAATTAGTGGTCCAAAAAATATTAAACCTACCAGCCCAAAAAATTTCAAACCCTATCAAATTTCAAAAATTCTCCAAAACCAGTGAAATTTCCTGTTGAAACCCACCCTTTCACCCTAAAATCTAGGGAAACTACCATCTATGTCTATTTATAAGTGACTTATCACAAAAATTGGTCATTTTATTAAATATTACTAATATTAGCCAAATATTACCAATATTAGCCAATTAGTTATTTGTAGCAAAAAAAAAAAGGAATAATTGTTTGCTTTCTTTGGAGTGGGTGTTATTAGAATAAATTGGGTACATCTTTAAAAAGTTTGAATCTCTGTTTTTGGATGATTTGGCAGAGTTTTGAGGTAGTTTAAATTGAAAATTTGAAGTAGAAGATGAAATATGAAAAAAAATGAGATGTGTATCACATATATATCATATATGTATCAAAATGTATCACATGTATATCCATGTACACTTGTGTGCGAGATACATGTGTTGCAAAAGAATTTTTTTCAACTCAATTTTAGCTACGAATTTTGATACCAAATCACCTCCAATCTTCCTCAAAATTTGTATATTGACTTATCTATATGTTTTCGTGAATTTAAACCATACCCATTGAAAAATATCTTTTTTTTGCTTAGATTTTAGGAATCTTGTATATATATTTTCTTTTATTTTATTACCTTATTTGCTACTTCATCCATAAAATTTACTTTCCGTCTTGCATCTAATGTTGCTGATCACGCTTAAAAATATGGAAGAAGATCTTTGCGTGTGATTCTTGGAGAGAATGAAGCTTATTTATTTTGGTTTTTAATTTTTATATATACTTGGCTAGTTTTGGTAAGTCTATAATTAATGGCTAAAGGTTGGTAAGTTGAGACTTATTTGAGATATTTCTGTAAAATTCCCTAAAATCTATCAATATCCAATCATCTTCCCTGCAACAAAATCTTCTATTACAGTATAAATTATAATCCATTTATCTTTTATAGAGAATCTAAATATATATCACTAATGTATCCTTAGTGTTTTTGTGTATCCGAAATATTTAATATGTTTTACAGTGTATATACACTTTATGCATAAGCATAAGTATCCATGATACTTCAAGGGCGGCTCCATAAAATTAGTGGCCTAAAGCCAAATTTTAATAAGAGGCCTTATACTTTTTTGTTAGTACGTATACACACATATATGCAAAAAAGTTAGTTTTGCCTTTTTTCATACTTGTTGTTTATAGTATATATTCTTAAATGACATAACTTCTTTAATTTTGTATAGTAATATTATTATTTACATTAGAAAATGACTAAACAAATGAGATGTTAGACATGTATTTGCAATATGTTACCTGTGATATTGTTGTAAAAAATATATTTACTAATATGAAGATTTAAGTAGTTTAATTCAAAGTTTTAAAAATATTTTTACTGTTAATGAGTAGACACCTTTCTTTCTTTTTTATAAATTTTTTTGTACTTTTTTATTTTTTCTACAAACATTAATATTGTCTAACTTGAAATAAAATTATAAAATCCATTATTATAAATTTTTGGGGACCTAAATCAAGGCTTTACTAGTCTCCTACTAGAGCCACTTGTCCATCCCTCACATTCTCAATCAAATTTATAGAGTCTCACTTAAGATAAGACAACAATGACAAGAACATTAATGGCAATGAGTGTGTCACTCAGTTACCACATGTGAATGAAGCTGGTTGAATAGTACGTTCATTGTGGGACAATAGTCTGTAAATAATTGTTGATCGTCAATGACGGGCGGCCCAACAGAAGTGGTGACCTAAAACCAAAATATATTAAAAAGACCCTGAAACTTCTTTTATATAATCCATATAATATTGAGACACAAAAAAAACCTACATGACTTTGATCTAGTGGTGAGAGCGCAACTCATGATGTATGAGTTAAGCGCACGCGAATTATTCCCTTAAGTGAAAATGGTAAAGGGTGAGCCCATTATCCATCGTGTTTTGAACCTTGTGACATTTGTCTCAGGGATTTCTTAGTTAAAAAAGATGAGACACAAAAGAACTTGCTTTCTGGTGTGTGGATCAATCAATTGTGACAAAAAGGAATAGGTAATTTAGAGAATTTGAGTTTGAAATTAGAAAGTAAAATCGCGAGAACTATAAAAAAAGACTATACATAAAAGAAAAAAAATAAAGTTGATGAAAAGGTAAATATAATTATCTAATTTAGTGAGAAAAATTAATCCAATTAACTCACTCAATCTTAGTTAAAAAATTTTAAAATTTAAAATTTTTTATTAATAATTATATAAATATGAATTATGAACTATATATTATATTATAATATAGTAGTGTTTCTTATTTTTTGGGCCCTTAAATATATTTGGGGCTTCACTTGCCTTACCTTACCCTAGAGCCGCCCTTGATGCTATTTCTGTTGCAGCAGCTGATTAACAGTCATGTCGTGGTGCACTATCGAGTCTGATCCCGGTAAGTGTCCTAACTCTTAGTTCCTTATTCGCCTTCTGTCATGGGAGTGAGATTTAGAGTAGAAAGAGTAATTCTTTAGCTGTTAACTGATTTCCGAACGTATAATTCACAAAAGGGGAAAAGTAGTAAGAAGAGAAGGAAGGGAACAGAATGAAGGGTTAGATGATCAAGTTATCATGTTAAAGGAGAAGATGATTAGGCTATTATATTATTATATATAGCAGCAATTTTCAAGTTAAACAAGGAGACATGTTGATAAAAGAAAATAAGGCAGAGTCTATGTTACTGGGTATCAGCTCTAGTTGGCTTCAATGTCATCCCACATAATTTTGTGTTTTTCAATCTTCATGTGTTAAGGGTAAAATACCTTACC